AATTTCTGATTGTAAACTCAGTCAGGAGAAAGAGCATCTTATATCTCAATATAAATATAATAAAAAATAGTCTGCCTTTCCTCCCAAGTAGAGGGAGTTTTTGTTAAAAACAAAACAGTTCAGAATTGGATCTTGGCAATTCAAGATTGCCTACCATTTTCTTGTGACTCTGGCAATTGCTTTCCAAGGAAACCTTTTCAGTACAAGAGAATACAAACTAATTTACCATTTCTGAATAGGATAAGGTTAGCTGTTTTGCTGAAACAAACCAGTGTTTATCAACAGAGTTCAACTGCTGTGTGTTATATCAGGACTAGTAAACATGAGCTATGATACCATTGATTACCTGAATGTATGTGGGTGCTTAGCACAAGTGCTGAGTGACTGGTGGAAAACTTGATTTCTTAAGCAAATGGCTTGAATAAATGAAACAACTGGGTCTAGCAAGCACTCTGTCATTTTAGTTATCTTTTATTACATTTCTAGTAATTTATTTAATGCCTTGTTTTTTTTTTTTCTGTTTTTCAGAACATCCAAAAAATAGTGATATTTGTTAAATTTATGGGCATTACTAAGAGTTACCCAGAACATACAATCTGCCACTTGCTTATATGATCACATGGAGTCTGTAAATCCCAGAAAATCAGATTGCAGGGTTGGGACCCCCACCTACATAGTATCAGTGACATTCAGTGGCAGTGCCTAAGCAGTGAAGGTCTATCTTACCTTTTTTTAAGACTGCAGTATGAATTAGGAAATCTGTACTGTCAAAACTAAGGGCTCAGTAAAATTTCTGTGACTGTTTCTTAGCCATCCATACAGGCATGCAGAAATGCAAGTAAAAATTGTGACCTTGTAAAAAGGATGCCTCTTACAGATTTGACTATGGCTGTGCAGTAACTTTACTCTTAAAAGATCATCAAGAAACTTCCCCCCACCCCCACTGAAATATACTTTTGTCACTAAATGAAATAATCCTGACTTGCATAGGCTACCCAAAGCCAGGTTTAGTTTTATGTCCCCAATACATCATAAGTAACAACCTTTCTCTCTTCTCTTATAAAGTTTGCCAGTTTTCTTTTATGGCTTTGTACTCAAGACATGGTCATAAATTTGAATTCCAAGCCATTTGCTCCAGTGATCTTTTTAACATTAACAAAAGAGTAGCAAGGAGAGAAACAAAATAAAAGAAACAAAACAAGCAATGCAAAATAAAAGGACTCTAATGAAAGCAGTAACTTACTGTAGCTACTTTCACTATCGCTGGCATTAGAAGAAACATGTTCTGCAAGAACAGTACAGCAAATTAAAGAACATAACCAAGCACCACAGAGCTGCAGAAACTTAAAAGAACCGCCACAGTCATGCAAAGGTAGTTATGTAGAGCAGAAATAAAAGCTGTGCAGTGACATCACCTGAAAATGCTCAGATATTTTACAGATGTAAAATGAAAGCTTTCTCTCTTGTGGCATTTCAGAAAGAGACTGTATGTATGTGGGTATTAGCTACTGATATGTGCCATGGTAAAACTATGTCATTTTGTGATAGACAAAATGTAGATGATATCTCTGATAACTTCATTTCAGTGTATATTATGATCAACTTGGATCTCACTTGATGTCTTGAGCAATTTATTGAAATCTAAGTGTCTGCTCATATTCTGCACTATCAGTGATGTGCATCATTAATGCATTGAAACTATTCCTGCTAAACTTCTAGCCTGTGTCTGTCTTTAATCACTGTGCACTATCCCAAAGAATTGTGCACAGTGATTAACAGATTAACATGAAAGTTATTTTGGTATGAAATATTGTAAATGTATCTAATCTATCCTGTCCAAGAGGGGGAAAAATTAAAGAAGACAAAGACAATGAAAAAACAAAGGAAAAAAAAAAGGAATAAGTCTTTTTCCAGAAATTGTCTAGCCTCAGGATTTGAGCTGGAGTTTGAAAACCTTTAGTCTGCATGGGTGAACATGAATATAAGAACTATCATGATGGGTCAGTCTTGTGGTTTGTCAAGTCAGGTGTCGTGTTTCTATTACCATATTATTCAAAACAATTCCAAAACTGTAGTCAGCAGACTATTTATGGACAGTAAGATCATGCTATATGCTCTCCAGGAGGTGTGCAGGACCACATTTAACAATTTTTTTTCTGGTAGAAATGCTGATTACTTTGCACCTGAAAGATCATTTGGCAGTTGAAATTTTTCAGCTGTTCCAGGACATTTAGAAGCCAATGGCACAATGGCTGTACATCTGGGAGCACCCTGGGTTAATGAGAAAGACAGGAACAGTGCTGAAATTCCCTGCAAGGTGCTGCCATTCCTCCATGTACCAATCACATGGCTTAGGGTTCATAGACTGGGAATGATGGGACTACTGGAGCACCAAAAATGAGAAGAGAAGATATCTGATACAAACAGTAATGGGAAACCTTGATCTTGGGCTTAGGAAGAAGCTTTTAAAAATTCAACTTACATTTTGAAGAAAACAGCATAATGACTTTCAGGCATTTCATAGCAAGTTAACAAGGGTTATCTCAAAAATGATGTGCTATACAGCTGAACAACTTTATTTTAAAATAACAAATATCCTTTGTAGTAAGAACTGTCATAAAAAAGCATGTCTTAGTTGAAAACTAACAAAATTTGGATTGGTGGGAATGTCTGGAGGTGTACCAGTAATTTAAAATTAGGTGCAATATTAATGCAGGCATTACAGCCTATACAACACCTTGGTGCTACTTTGTTCCATACCAATTGGCAGAATTCAGGTAACTTTCAAATGGTTCGATGTTATGGATGATTCTTTTTGTAAGGACACATATTCAGGAAGGTTATCAGATCTGAAGCATTTTACTTTTCTCTAGCAGGGAAGGATTTGCATTTGTTGCTAATGAGCTGCTATGACACTTAAATGATCAGAGAATTGTTAAAATTCAGGTGGCAGTGACATTTGCTGTCTATCACTGACAAAACCAGTTTTGCAGAACTGTTCTTCCTTGTACAAGAGATAAAGCTTTCATCTTTAAATTGTGAGCCACTGCATGGCATTAAGTTAAATCATTAAAATGTTCCTTCAACAATTCAGTCAGAAACAGAATAAGCTCCAAAACTGTGTGAATGGATGTGCATTCCTGCAATTAAAAAGCACACACAAAACAGTAGGTGATGCAGCATTAACACACATTTCGCTCCAATTACTTGGTGCTTAAGAAAAGGAAAAAGAACTGAGGAACAAGTAGCCAAATGCATGCAAGTGGCATTTTGTTTACATTATTTAGCTCTGGATACAGAATTTAATATAGCTATACATGTAGAAGTCAGCAGCAAATATTTCATTCTGTACAGTTTTTCTGGTTCACATTTTAAGGAAGAAAAATTGTTTCTGAGCAATTATCTGACACGTTATACACTCTGCAATGCCAAGTCTTGAGACAGGATTGCTGCATCAGAAAAAAAAAAATTATTAAGGTTGTGTGACAGAGAATAGGTTGCTAATGGTGAAAACTGGTCCAAAATTAGCTTTGGAGAATGCATGATCTTCTCTAGCCTGCAAATGACTTCTTCCATTAATCACAAATACTAATCTAAAAATTCAGCAAAGTAACAAACACTCCCATGCAAAAAGCTGAAAATGCAGAAGCAACAGCATGAACTAATTTTCTATTGATCTCCTCAGGATGTGATCATGTTAAAATGTTTAATTTTCCCTTTAGATGGAGAGGGAGGGGTTGTTGCTGAAAAGAACAGTCTAGGCAGCAAAACGCGTTCTAGGTATGCTACTCTACAGAACTGCCATGATGGGAACAATCATATACTGTCAGAAACAAAAGGTGTTATTACAAAAGAAGTGAAAGTGTCTGCTTGATACACTGTATGTTATTTAATACCATGCAGAACAGAACGATTGAAACATTTGTAATGCATTCACAGCTGGGTAACAAATAAAACTCTATCTTGTGCATGCTAGGAGTGGAGGGTCCTCAGAGAAGAAACAGAAGCCAAAACAAAACAAAACAAAAAAGGGTTTACAGTGACCATTCCTGGGAACTTACTCAGAGTCTTTGTTCCATAACCGTCGTCACCTAATCCGGGGATGTCCTGCACGGAAGTCCCCAGAGAGAGCAATGAGAAAGGAAGAACAGCCGCAGAAGAGGAAGGAAGAAGTCAGTGGAGTTGAAATGGATACTACCATGACTGACCATGTTGATTGAGCAATCTGGATCCCTGCCTTTTCTTTCTGAAATGAATTTAGACCCATATTCTATGGAAATTCACCCAAAGAAAGAGGCAGTGACTGTGAAACGTGCCTTTTGGAGCTGTGAGGAAGAAGAAACAACCAGATAAATAAAGCTCCAGAAACTGTCTTCACTGGATAAATTTAGGACAGAATTATTAAGAAAAAAAAGGGAATATTTGGGCTTGGAACTAGCAAATATTTTTAATAATTCTGGTTCCTTATAAAATTTAAGCAAGCAATAAATGCTTGTGGTTATACACATTCCAAGAAACAGTTTAGTTCTTTAAGCTGTTAACATGGTTGCTTCCCTTAATTGTCAAACTTCCAGGGAAGCTGCCCATGGAAATCAATTTAGTGAAAGTCAAAGGCAAAAAAAGATAAGAATAGATATTTTAAAAACTAATTAGTTTAGTATTGTGAAAGAAATCACGTTTGCCTTACTTTGAGCCAATTCTGATCTAGAAATATTTCTGAGAGATGATTTTGGATTTATGACAGGTGTCACAACAACTTTGAGGAGCCATATTTCTGCTTCCAAAAGTTAAGGTCACTGCTTTATTCTTCTGAAAATAGTATTTCCAGAGATGGAAGGAGAAGCTGGATCCAAACTGCAGTCATACATTGGTCACAGTAGTAATACCTCTCCTGCCTGCCTATGACAGATATTTGCCTAGATGTGTGGGATACTGGCATCATGCGTGTCACCCATTTGTTGTGCTGCTGCATGTGACATCGTCTCCAAGAGGCTACTTACGTTCTGGATCACTTGTTTCCTGCTCACTCTGCTCCTTGCTCTTGTAGAATGGGAATTTTCGTGAAAAGATGAAGTTCTTTTTACGCTTGTCATTGAATGACTGTGAAGGAGAAAAGGCATGGGGCAAAAACAGGGACGTCTAATTGTTGTCACACTCATGCTGACAAAACAACTAGTTTGTAAAAGTGGAGAGAACTGTAGTGACTCAAATCAGCACAAACTAAGTGGCTGCAATGGATCAGAAGTATGGTGAGGTCTGAAATTTGAAGGCAAAGCTCTTGAAGACTGGATCAATTGGACTCCGGAGGTCTGAAGTCACAATGTGCAGCTCCTTACTTGGAAGCTGTAGTGTTTAGCATGTTTGGATGAAGGGCTACAGATGGTTCAGCATGCTTTGAGATCAAGGCATCCATCTTTAATCACAGCAGACTGTGCACAGAATTAATTAACTGTCTGAAAAGAATAGGCTGTAACGTGGAAAGCAGAAGCCTTTGATTTGCTTATAGTGTGTGAATTCAGCACTGTGTCAATTAATATTAAAAATTCTTTACTGGTAGGTGCTGTTGATTTCATAATGTCGTATTTGGCCTCTTTATTGACAACTTCTTAAGTGTGTTTTAATGCTTCTTTTGGGCATAATGAAAAAAACCCCAACTTTGTTTTATTTTATAGATGTATATTTATGCATTAGGTTTCTCTGGATATACTTTTAGTTCTAAGTGATTTAGAAATGGAATTCTGCTGATAATCAGGATTTCATTGCATGATGATCAACATATTTTGCTGTAATTCTTCAAATCAGAAATTAATATAGAAGAAATTGGTCTTTCTTACATGATAAAACCTTTGACTTCATAAACATTTGCAAGGACTTCCAGGACTATCCTGTGTAAAAACAGGATTTGCCTACTTGGAACATTTATTTCAGATACTAAATAAGGAGATAGGGCTCCTGCAGAGTGAATTGAAAGAAGCTGGCAGTCTTGAGGGCACACAGAGCTGCAGACTGTGTGTCTGAAGTGATCTGTGCTGTCAGTCAGACAATGACCTATAATGTCTCTTATACTGAACATAGACACAGGACTTTGCAAGTGATGACCTCCAACACAGCAGAGACCTTCTTGAATAAAGGACCAATCGACCAATCTCATGTGCTTGGCATTGCTCAAATTGAATATAACCAGTATTTGGCTCCAGTTCTGCAATGGAAGATATTTTGAGTCTTAGAACACAATTTCTTTCCTTATATTTTGAAATTGTGAAATAAAATGTGGTTTAAAATATGTATTTCTGAAAGATGGATACTGAAAATCTGCTGAAATAGTTGCATACTCATGCCACGAAAGTTTCATACCACTTTTACATTTCAAGCATATTTAAAGTTTAGTAACTGAAAACAAAGAAAAAAATGCACATGTAGAATAAATGATCCATGAAAATATCTCAGAGTAAGTAACATTCAATGTGAAATTAAAGTGGAGGTCATGCACAAATAATCCAGACAGCATGCAAATTCAAAACAAAGCAAGTATGAAAGAAAGTCAGAGGAATTTAAAAAAAATCAAAAAAGCACATGAAGGATTAAAGTAATCTGTGGATGAAAGGAGGACTGACATGCACATTACATCACTTTAATGACCTAATGGACATAATTAAATTAAAATGTGTTTTCTGTGATAATTTCTTTTACTTTTCCAAAGAAAGGAATGTAGCATGTTAACATTTCTGTTTGTGAAAATGTTGTTTGTCATGATTTATCTGAATTTGACATAGTAATGCAATTGGCATTACACACTTTAAAAGGGAAAAATATATATACAATCAATAACACCTCAAAAAGCAAGGGGGCTTTAAAATTAGAATCACTTCATTACAGCACTTTGGAATTCAAGCAAATGTTATCAAATTAATAAATAAATATGCTGTGTTTCAGAGAAAATATATGAGAAATAACACTTATATACATTGCTTCAATTTTTTCCCCAACAGTCTAGAGCAAAAACTTCAGAAAGTACATTTTCCCCAGAAAAGCATATATTTTCACACTTAAGCATGATCTAACAGTATACATCAAATTAGACCGATATTTTATACTGCTGTATAAACTTTTTCTCCTTTTGCTGTTTCAAGTACTGGGTTGCCTTTTTAATAAGATATTGTTCCACTTCAATTTGGATGATCAAAATCTGGCAATTCACAGCAGATGACAATCATGTGCGACTATGTCACTGTATTCACACCAGTAAAAAGCTCTCTTCCTAAAATAAGGCTGATCTAGTTATATTAATATCCATAACCAAATATGTTTATGCATGTGATAATATTTCTATAGATTAATCAATGTGTATATTCATGCTAATTATCATATATACCAGCATGGTGTAGTCAGGGGGTTTATATTTAAAATAACAAAGAAACTGCAAAATATTATAAAACATTAAAGTGGGTCTGACTCTGCAAACTTAGAGAAATACTTAGTCCTTAGTATTAACTGAATGAGCTTACCAAGCGTTTATTTTTTTAAATTAAGTGCATGTTTCTTCACAAGGAATCAAAGACAAGAGCCTTGATTTTACTTTTGTATGCAATATTAAAGCCAGGCTGATGGTCTCACCTTTAGGATATGAAATCCTGCTGACAACCCCAAAAAGGCTTCTTATAGATATCATGATTTATATGATTTATATCTCTAATGCACAGAGACAAGGGGCTTAGCAAAGCAAGAAGAGAGAGACTCACACAGAATAAAACCATATTTCTATTGCACACGCCATGTTAATTCCAGATTTTGCTAATTGGTGGAAGAGTAGAGACCAACACTGACGGTGTATTCTCTTTTTTGAGAAAGGACCACATGTATGAGGATCTGTGGCAAGGTTAAACTCCAAAACTCAGATGTATATTTGAGAAACTTTATTTCACTACAATGGAAACTTTGGACCCGTCAAATACTCTGGAGCCATAGGCTCCATATGCCTCTGGAAAACTGTGAAATAGATGTAGAATAAATAAGACAGAGGTATTTGCCTACATCTCTCCACCTGATACAAAAATTGCATGCAACTGGAATTGCAATTGTGATAGCAAGCTTAGCCTAATTCATTTATGCAGGCAGAGTTTCTAAAAGTCAGTGGAAAAAGCACCTGAAAATGGATTCCTTGTAAGTCGCAGGTTTTTTGCCATGATAATGTAAAAACCTGTAATGGCAAATAACTCAGGCATTTCAGTTGCAGTGAAAAACCTGTACAAGAGATTACTTGTATGTGTCACTGCCATCACACAGATCACCATAACCTAGGCAGCAGCAGTAGGAGGCACTTTAAACAGACAAGTGCCTAAGACTAAAAGGCAAACGAAATTTTCAAGTTGTTTGACAACAGGACAGTGACATCATTCACAGCACTTTATCTGTGATGGAAAAGAGTCTCTTCTCGGAAAAAAAGTGGAGGACAGAGTTCACTCATGCCTCGAATCCTTGTTTGATACTATTTAAGCATAGACTGTGTTTTGAAGAAGCCAAGGAAAATAATTGTGATGTGCACGGTGCACTGTTGCTTGACCAAGTATCCCCAGATGTCCCCGGTTATGTAAGCCTGGCTTACACACACCAACCTTCCCTGGTTGTGACAGACATTAAACCGCTGGGTGTTTCTGCTTCTCAAGAACCCACTCGGGTACTTTTTTTGTGTCAACATCAGTTTTGAATTCTAAATGTTTTTCCCTAGGCTCAGCAGCCATAAATATGTTACTCATCAGCTAATAGGGTAGTGTTTTTAAAAGGAAATTTTCATGTAACATTAAATAAACAATCCAATTTCAAAATTTTCTTTGTAGTGGTAAACATAACAAAAACCAATAATTTGATAGTTGTACCATACTGCAATAGGCAACTATATTGTTGTTTACTTTGAGCTGCTTCCCACATTTTTTTCATAGTGTAGCTGATCCAACCCCTACTATTTATTGCTCTTGACACAGGTTGTCCTCTTTAGGCTCTGCAGAAGATGCTAACATGTTGGGGAAAGATTTTTTATAGTGCTCTAACAGATCTATTTTCTCGACCCCAATAAACTCCCAACTGCTTCAGGAATGCTTTCTTTTGCCATTTTATTCAACAAATGCTAATCCTCAGTCATGTGTGGGGAACCAGTGTACAGGGACCACCTGAGAGAAAGCTGTTCCAGAGCACGGGCTGTGAAATTCTTCTTTACAGGGTGTAGATGGATTTCATATACCATCTAATTTTAGGCAGGTTTGAGCTATGCTTTAACCTAGTTTTTATGTTATATGATTATGTATGTCAGTTTTGTTCTCAGATTGGTCTAGCAGTGTATATGAGGAATTATTTTACTGCTTCTCATCTGCAATCTGGCTTTCTTATTCTTCTTATTTAATACCTGATTTTGGCCTAAGCTAAATGAAAATCCTTCATGTACTCACCCTTCTACAAAAATCTACACAATTAATTATCAACATTTTGTCTCTGCAATCCTTTTCTCTATATTTAACTGACACTTTTTGTATTAGGGAGATTAATTTTCTCATTTGAACACTGACTTTAATAACAGAATGGGCACTCAAACACTGTTAAATCCCTCTATTTAAATATTTTAATTTTATAGATCTCTATGGTATATATTTTAAATCTCTCCCATCATACCAAAAATTTGCACTGACACCAGAAAGAAAATTTTTGGACTGTAACATATACTCAGTGTTATTTCTCCTTGGAAGCATATATATCACTTCACTGGTTTTATAATGGGATTTTTCTCCTGGCAATCCTGAGCCATGAATTTGAAATCTCAGGTTAAATGACCTGACCAAGTCTAGAGGATTGCCAGTGCCATTGAGCCACTCTTGCTTTCCTGATGTAACCCCAAACTTGGCCATGGCCTGGGCTCACACACAGAAAGCAGCTCATGGTGTCCTGCAGACATGCAGAAGATAAGCTGAGGAGTTGTCAGTGGCAGTTGTAAGCCTGGCTGTCCAGGGATCACAGAGTACATTCTCTGAGATGCTGATCTTCCATTCTCAGTCTGCACACGCAGTTACGTGCTGGCAAACAGCACTAGCCAGCTTCCCTATGATTTTTTATGA